AACTAGGAGGAGCAATTTTGCAAAACCAAAAAACCCACCCAACATCAACAGATGAGGCCATAAGGGGTGAGTCAGAAATCCTGCACACACCATGACTCCAGGCTCCTCCAGGCAACCTGTTTCCAGAGCATTCCTCCTGATTTGTTTGCACGGACTTTCCATGGTTGTTATGTTTACTGAGCATTCATTCTGATTGTTTCTGCAGAGGTTCCAGGGAATAACCATTATCTCACACTTTCTGTACATTTCCCATCACTTTCCTTACCACAAACAGTTCAGGAGGTGAATTTGTTTTTGTTTTTTGAAGTGCTATTTTTTATTATCAAGGCTGTCTACCCAGGACATTTTATTCTAGCGTTAACGAAGACCGTGTGCTTGTTTTTTTCTATGTAGTCCACACACACAGGCTGGATCTACTATTACATATTTTTTGCGCCTGAAAAGTGCTTTTTGAGAAACTGGTTTCGTTCTGAAAATCAAGGCTCATTGTGAATTGATTCTGCATGAAGTCAGTGGTGGATTCCTCCCCAGTAAGGATAAGTAGGATCAAAATGCTGGGAAGGGAACTAGTGTCAATTGAGCAATATGAAAATATAGGTTCTATTCCTGCTCTCCCCAGTTCCGAATCCTGCCCCTCCGGTATGGCAGGATTTGAAGACATCCTCTACTTAAAATGTGATATTGAACACCCTCTGCTTCCTCCGGACTCATTTGGTGAAGACAACTCATATAACTCTCTCTTTCTGACCATTTGTTGCCTAGGACTTCTGCAACTCTCCCTCCCCCACCTTGGGTTTTTCCTGTATTTCCTTTCGGGGAAATTGGTTAAATCCTTATTCAACAAGTAAATGTCAGTGTGATATTTGTATAAGTAATGAAGCAGACTGTTTAAATATGGGTGAGGATAGTCTCTAGTGATCTTTTCTTTGCAATAAAAAATGTAGGATTGTTTCCCATCAGTATGTTACTGGTCCAACAGGGAGAGATAGATAGCTAGATGATAGAAACATTGCATGTTTTTTGCAGGTCTGATACCTTTGAGTAGGAGGAGGACACTTGAAAATTGTATGATAGGATAGATAACACCAAAGTTATGGGCAGTAGAAGACTGTCAGGTACTCCCATTGAAACTGACAGCAAACACAAATGGATGGGATGAAATGAACTACCTTTCAGGAATGAACTAGTTTTGACTCAGCAATGAGATTAATGCAGTTCTAACTAATAAACCACAAAGGCTGTGACCCTATGCTCACTTATCTGGGTGTAGGTCCCATTGAACTTAAGGGGACTTATTTCTGAGTAGGTTTGCATGGAATTGCACTGGAAATGAATGGAAGTTTCAGTGACAAAAATGAATGGAGTAACTAGACTTTGTTTCCCTCCTTGTACACTGCTACAACCTTAATGCCTGTTAGTCCTTCCACCGGTCCCTTTGGGATAACAAGCCCAAAGATACCATGTTGACATTGCAGGGTTTCTGTGACCGAAGGAAGCGTACAAAGGTTGGGGAAGGAAGAAAATAAATAAATCCATGACCACTTTGCAAGAACATCATTTGACTCACATTTTAATATCTGAAAATAGTATTTAAATTCTCAGCCATATTTTGGACAGCAAACCAGCACATGAATTCACAAAACCTTGCCAGGACAACACAATCATTCTCAGATGTAAAAACAGTGAGGTCACATTCAACAAACAGCTTCGTATGAAAGGTGAAATGTACAGAGTGAACCAAGAGCCCAGAGGATTTCCTGGGCTACTTCTGCGCAAAGTCAGATCCTCACAAATAAGGTGTGACATGGGAAACTTGGAGATGGTTCATTTGCCTAGCTTAGTATATGGCCCCTGGAGGGTTCCTTGGGAAGTAATGTGGCCCTTAGGGTGACAGTACACACACACACACACACACACACACACACACACAGCGCTTCCCAGTTGTGGAGTGCCTGTGGAATAGATCCAAGGCTTTTACATTTTGATAGGTAGTGTTCAATGTTTGTCTTAAGCACAGACCTTTTGAAATTGATGGGCATGACTAATTTAGATGCATTTATTTTAATGGGTTATATATAACGCAATCAATTCTAAAGAAAAATTAGATTACCCTAATATAAACTGCAGCCCTAGAAAAAAATGGCGGGGGGGGGGGATGTGGTTGTCACCTTTCTCTTACCCGCATCTCTCCATAAAAATATAATGCATGACACACTTCCATCACACTTGACATTTCTTCCCCCTCCAAGAGCAGCAGACAGTGAGACAAGTTGAAGCAGCGAAATGTTCGATGCAATGAGGATCTCATCTCCCATCTTCTTTTGCTAGATGTTACCAGGGAGACATAGAACAGAGATGGAGGTGGTGGCACAACACCGCCGCCCGCCCCCATCACACCTTGTTTGGAACCACCTTGTATATTTATTCTTAAAGCATTTTGAAGGACATCGGGATGCTACAGCCTGACCCTTATTTACAGCAAATCTGGTTCCTGGCATTTCAAAACAGCAGCAGACAACACACACTTCAGAAGCAGGAAAACAAGTGCTGAGAGATGACATGACTTTTTTAAAAAAGATAACACTGCAAAGGAACACATTACAGGTGTGTGCATTTAAAAATCCTCTTATCAACAAGGCAAGAGTGCATTGGACCACATCTAGCTGTGCACTCTGGGCATGAGTGAGAAAAAGTTCAGCACTTCAGAGCACCAAGTTGTTAAGGACAGACCTTAGCAGATGCAGAATTAGCTGCAAAAAAAGAGCAAATTGCCACACTGACCACATCCACACCTTACGTTTAAAGTGATATTACTTTAAGCAGCCGTGCCTTTCCCCAAAGAACCCCCAGAATTGTTGATTGTTCAGGGTGCAGAGAGTTGTTAGGTGACCCTTTTCCTCCTCCCTCCTCCCAGAACTACAATTCCCAGAGTGGTTTAACAACCCCCCTGCCCATATAACTCTGGGAACTGTAGTTCTGGGAAGGGAATACAAGTGTCTCCTAACAACTCTCAGCACTTTTGATGAATGACAGCTCCCAGTATTATTTGGGGGAAGCTGAGACTGTTAAAAGTGGCATAATAGCATTTTAAGTGTATGGCTTGCATGTGACCACTGCCAGACCTTCTCCCTACACCTGTTCTTGTGCTTTTAAGGAGGGGAACGGGAATCTGCCAGTTGCCAGAGTGAGATTCAGATAAAGCATTCTCATTAGAGAACTCTGCCAAAGAGTGAGGAAACTGGGCACCCTGACAGAACCCCGGAGGCTGTACTCCAAGGAATTTGTGCCACCCTGCAGAATTGAAGAAACTCACATTTTCCAGTGATGGACTCACCACGCTAACCCCTCAGCCCTCACAAGCAGAGGCAGCACAAGCTTGAACTGATGCTCCAGTCTGATGGTCAGAGCTTTACTCAGCATCGGTACCCCAGCTATGGTCTGAATCAGGTCCCTGATACGTGTGCTAGGAAAGGTGAGGCAGTTATGGCCAGGATGCTGCTGGGGCACCTGCTCCAAGGACCAGGTCCCAGTTCCGGCAGCCTGCAGGACAGCTTCTTCCTGCTCAGAAGTAGGCCTTCTGGCTCTTCATTAGACTTGCTGATGCTATTGGACAGCGCCCCTGCTGGTCCATGCTTTAACTGCCACTTGCAGGAGCTGGTGCAATACTTGTTGCTTTGGATTCCAGGCACCCCACTATCACTCACGGGTCTGCAGACTTGGTCAGACCACACCTGGAATACTGTGTCCAATTCTGGGCACCACAATTTAAGAAGGATGTTGACAAGCTGGAATGTGTGCAGAGGAGGGCAACCAAGATGATCAAGGGTGTGGAAACTAAGCCTTGAAGGACCTGGGTATGTTTAGCCTGGAAAAGAGGAGACTGAGAGAAGATATGATAGACATCTTCAAATATCTTAAGGGCTGTCACATGGAGAAGGGAGCATGCTTGTTTTCTCTTGCTCTGGAGGGTAGGACTTGAACCAATGGTTTCAAGTTACAAGAAAGGAGATTCTGACTAAACATTCAGAAAAACTTTCTGACAGTAAGAACTGTTTTAACAGTGGAATGGACTCCCTCAGGAGGTTTTGGACTCTCCTTCCTTAGAGGTTTTGAAACAGAGGTTGGGTGGCCATCTATCACAGATGCTTTAGCTGAGGTTCCTGCATTGCAGGGGGTTGGACTAGATGACCCTTGGGTCCCTTCCAACTCTATGATTCTGGTTTGGTTTTAATTAATTTACTCCTCTCCCCAAATCACCACCCAAATTATCCCGACTAGCATTGGTGTGCAACGCTTAAAGTCTGATTCCTAATTCAAATGGATTTCTAGTGGTGCTTATAATAATGGCTAGGTGGATTGTAGCATGCTCAACAGAGCTGTGGAAACATACCTGGGGACAGTGTCGCATGGTGTGTTAGGGTTGGCAGGATTTACAATGCATTCTATGTATCAATACTACAAATTTCCATCCATTTATTACCATCTCAACTTAGCCACGGAGAATCAAGTCTGTCCAATCCTGCTGTGGTTTCCGTTTATGGATTGCACTAGTGTATCCGCTGCCAACCTGGTGTCCTCCAGCTTCTTGGACTACAACTCCCATCAGCCCACAGTGTAGAACATTGGGAACTGGCGTATGTCTCCCTTGCCCATGAAGCATGATCTACCATGTTGGATGGGCTGGGGTGAGGTAGAGAGATCCAGGCCTTCTTACCCTTCCACCTATTTATGAAGCCAATGGTTGAGGTGGAGCAACAGTGTCCCCCATTGAGAATCAAGCCTCCTTCTATCTGCATGCCCCACCCCTGTTTTCTTGTCTTGCTTGTGTGGTGTAATGTTGAAGAGGAGAGCATTTCTGTGCAAGGCGGAAAGAAAGCAAATATTTGTACACCCTGGAAATAGGATTTGGCAAAGTCCATTCTTATCATGCCCATGGCATTTGCCACCACAATGTGCTCCAAGCAAGTTCCAGTTCTCTTGAAGGCAATGGAGGTCTCTTTCTACAGCTTGCTAGTCTGCATGTGCCCATTGGACTCCACACTTCTCTGGAGTAGCATCACCTCCTGCAGGCGGCTGCTCTTCTCTTGCCGATGTTCGGTTGGGTCGCCGTCTTCAATGCCATTTCCTTTGCGGAGGCACAGGACCTTCTGAAAGCTCTGCTTGAAGTTTTCGGAAAGAAATCCATACAGGATAGGGTTGGCACAGCTGTTGGCGTAGGAGAGAACCACCACAAAACAGAAGATGCCAACCAAGACAGGCTCCTCCGGCAAGATGAAGATCAGGTTGATGATGTTGACAATGTAGAAGGGAAGCCAACAGAAAACAAAAACAACCACAATGATGACCACCATCTTGGTCACTTTCCTCTCCGACCTTCGGCGCCTTGTAGAGCCCACTCGGATTCCCGAGGACTTGACTTTGATGATGATCAGCAGGTAGCAGAGGCAGATCACCAGCAGAGGTCCAAAGAACCCCAAGACGGAGGTGTAAATGATGAACACTGCAGACCAGATCTGCACCGGGTCAGGCCAGCTCATGTTGCAGGTGTCAAAGGTTTCCTGGACATCAGCGAATATGATCATCGGGAGCACCACCAGGAAGGAGAAAGTCCAGACTGCCAGGCTGATCAGTCTGGCGAACCTTGGGTGACGCCACTTGGTAGACTTGATGGGGTGAACCACGGCAAGATAGCGGTCCAGACTCATGACTGTCAAGCAAAAGATACTGGTGAATTGGTTGATGCCATCAAAAGCTGTCACTAGCCTGCACATGAAAGTCCCAAATGGCCAGTAGGAGATGGCATTCTGGGTAGCCAGGAATGGCAAGCCGAGCATGAAGAGTACGTCAGCGATTGCCAAGTTTAAAATGTAAATGTTGGTGACGGTCTTCATCTTGGCATAACGCAGGACCACGTAAATGACCAAGGTGTTCCCACTCAGCCCAACGGCACAAACCATGAGGTAAATGATTGGAATGAGCACAGAGCGGATGCTGGTAGGAATGGAAAACCCTCCGAGAGTCGCGTTGCTTGTTGTGTTAGCCAAAAAGGAGAAGTTATCATCTGGAGGAATGGCTTCTTTGAGGAAAGCGGTGGAGAAGTACAAAGGATCCATGTTCCTTGTCTCAATGTGGTTTCTTAAGAATGACGAAGCCTAGAGTCCCTCAGCATTTTCACCCTGGGGGAGAGAAAAACGAACAGAAACATGAAAAGAAAAGATTATTGGTGGGCATGTTCAGAAATCTCTCCTGTTTAAAATGTATGAAACAGCTGCCTTGCACATTCTGCTGTAATGCACCAAAATAATTAGCTACCCTGGCTGGCAATTATTTAGGAATTAAGCAGATGTTTTGTTTTCTCCCATCAACCTTCTCCTGCAAATAAAAATGAATATGGGAGCTGTGAACAAAATGAGCTCACCATAATAGCCTTGGATGTTCCTGGATCATTCTCTCAAGGGAAAAGAGAAGGCTGCCTCATACCGTGTCAAGCCATTGAGCTCAGTATTGTCCACATTGGCTGGCTGTGGCTCTTCAGGATTTCAGACAAGGGTCTCTCCCAGCCTTACCTGGAGATGCCAGGGACTGAACCTGGGACCTTCTGCATGCAAAGCAGGTGCTCTATCCCTGAGCTGTGCCCCCTTCCCCCACAGGAAACCGAGTCAGAACCTTGGTCTATCCAGCTCAGTACCAGACTCTGGCAGCTTCCTGTTCGAGTAACTCACCAGACCTGATCCTAGCCTTCACCCTCAGGGTTTGGAACATAGGAAGCTGCCTTATACCAAGTCAGAGCAATGGTCCATCTTTGTATTGTCTTTGTTGACTGGAAGCATCTCTCTGGGGTTTCAGGCAGGGGTCCCTCCCAGCCCTATCTAGAGATGTTAGGGATTGAATATGGGCCCTTCTGCAGGCATCTGATCTACAGTGCTTCTCCCAGGAGACACTTATAAAATGCTACACCACTGAAGGAAGAATGTAGACATGGAAGGAAGAATGTTATAGCTGCAAAGAATTCAGGGGCAGTTAATGGGGAGAACCTCTGTATCTATGCACATTTTAGTTATTTATATTGACCACGTGTTGATCCATCAACTTCCAAGGCTATTAGGGTGAGCCAACAGTTAGTGCTTGAACTGACTAGAGGGGTGGCACCCTAGACCTAATCTTGAGAGGCACCCAAGACCTGGTGCGAGATGTTAAGTGTGGGTAAGCCAATTGGGAACAGTGGTCATAGCACTATTAAATTAAATATACATGGAACTGGCCAGTTGCCAAGGAAAGCGCACATGGTCACATTTGGTCACTTCCTCAGAATGAGAAGATTGATAAAAAGGAAGTTGGAAGGCAGATTCAAAAGGTTCAAATCACTCCAAAATGCTTGAAAGTTGTTTAAAAACACAGTATTAGACAATCAACTGGAGTGTATATGGCAGATCAGGAAAGGTACTATGACGGTGAAGAGGACACCAACACGGTTAATGAGTAGAGACAAAGAAGCTATTAGAGGTGAGAAGGCTTCCCTCAAAAAACTGAAGTCTTGCCCAAATGAACAGAACAAAAAAGAAGGTGAAAACCTTGGCAAAGAGAAAGAAAGAAATTGTAGGCAGACAGTAAGGGGTGCTGAAAAAGAATGTGAGGAACACATTGCTGAAAACATTAAGACAATAAACAAGATGTTCTTTAAATATATTAGTAGCAGGAAACTGTCTAGGGAGGTGATTGAACTCTTGGATGACAAGGGAGTCAAATGGGTGCTAAAGGAGGATAAGAAGATTGTAGAGAAACTGAATGAACTACCATATTTGCATCTGCCTTCACAATGGAAGATATTGGGCAGATCTCAGTGCCTTTTCAGAAGGTGAGTCTGGGGAAATAAGGCAAACAGTGGTGATGAGAGATGAAGTCCTAGGCTGAATAGAAAACTAAAAACTGACAAATCACCTGCCCAGATGTCATCCTCCTGAGAGTTCTCAGCGAACTCAAATGTGAAACTGGTGATCTTCTAACAAAAATATGTAACTTGTCCTTCAGATCAGCCTACATACCTAAGGACTTTAAAGTAGCCAATGTAACGCCCATTTTATAACAGCTTATGCAAGTTCAAATTGTTGCAAGACACCTTTAACAATAGGTTTCTACTCATCTTCAGTGAGCTATGTGCCAATAAGTTTGCCGCTCTCTCTTTAAAACTCTCCCATTTCTGTAACTCTTTATCTGTTAAAAGTTAAAACATTTTTGACCCATGGATGTCTTAATCAGGTCCCTGCTGTGCTCATACTTTCAGGAACAACCATAGGGATTAGAAATTTGCTTTATCAGAAGTGCAGAAAACGAGGTTCTAAGAATTAGGGATGGGGGATAAATTCAATTCTGTTTGCATTTTAGAATGAACCTATGTAATTCACACTTCCTGAACCAATACACAAACCAAAATATACGGCCATCCTTTGGAAACTGCACTTTGCCAGACTTTTTTTGCAATGCATTTATTCAGATAAGTAATGTGCAGAAAGATGCATGTATACTAGAGTAAAATGTGCATCAAAATGCATATATTAGCAAAAAGTGGCATTAGTATTATAGAAGAGGAACATGCTTTACAAAAACATGCGTATTAGGCAAAATTGCATACACAAATGTGTGTATTAGAAGAAATTCATGCTATTTTTTATGAATTTTCATGAGGATTATGGTTTTTTTTAATGAACAAATGTAAAAATGTGGAGAACTATACTTTCAGACTGGAAAAAATTAGAAACTGAGAGCAGCCCAAACTGAGATATTCATGCCTCCCTACACAGGGTGCTGAATCCTACCTCTTCCATCACATTCTTTGCTTTTTCTGGGCTATGATGGAATTGCTGAAGTCTAGTAGGTTATTCTCTTTGATATTTTAATCCATCAGATCCTCCTTAGACTCAGAGCAATTTATAACTGCAGTTCTTTATGATTGATATTACATATTATTTTTACATGCATAATTTTGAGTTAAAAATAATTCTTCCTGGAGTTGAATACTCAAGCAAAAAAAAAAAAGCAGTGTGTGTGTGTGCCATTTGACCTGCCTTATCTCCTGTCTTCAGCCTTTTTAGTCATAAGAAAAATGGATGAAGTTGAAGCAGCCACTTAATTTGGTTGCAAACAGGCTGTGCTGATAAGGTTTCAAATTCCAATCCCAAGGACAAAGCAACAAATAAAAAATTTACTCTCCCTCTAGAAAATATAGCCCTGGCTGTAAAGTGTAATCCAGCGTTCCCAGGGCTCTTAAGTGGCAGAGAACAAGAATCCAGAATTGTAGAATTGGAAGGGACCCATAGGGTCATCTAGTTCACCCCTGCATTGCACGAATTATACCTAGGATGCAGAACCTAAAGATGATGCAGTCACGGCCACAGAGAAGGGCTCCTGGAGTCACAGTGGCTAATGGTCAAGACACACCCCAAGAAGGATATTCCAATGGGTTCTCTTATGTTGTTTGCTTGCTGGGTTTTAGATAAAGGTAAAGGGACCCCTGACCATTAGGTCCAGTTGTGGCCGACTCTGGGGTTGCGGCACTCATCTCACTTTATTGGCCGAGGGAGCCGGCGTACATGTGGCCAGCATGACTAAACCGCTTCTGGCGAACCAGAGCAGCGCATGGAAATGCCGGTTACTTTCCCGCCGGAGCGGTACCTATTTATCTACTTGCACTTTGACGTGCTTTCGAACTGCTAGGCTTGCAGGAGCACGGACCGAGCAACGGGAGCTCACCCTGTGGCGGGGATTCGAACCGCCGACCTTCTGATCAGCAAGTCCTAGGCTCTGTGGTTTAACCCACAGCGCCACCCACGTCCCTTAGGGTTTTACACTAAAGCAATTATTTCCTCCACACCATTTCCGCGAATCAAATTGCCATAGGTGCCAACTCCCTAGAGCCCTGGGTACCCGAGCGCCCAGAAAATTCCCCATGAAGGGGCTGGGCACCCACAAAGTTTGCTGCCAGGGCTGCATGGCACCCACGGTCATGGGGCCAAGCTGCCACTCCTGTCACCACCTCACCTTAGCCCTGAAGTAGTGGCAGTGGTGGTTTGTGCCTCTTGGGACTGGTGGTAGGCAGAGAGCCCAAAGAGTTGATGGCACCAGAGCCAATGACAGAGGCAACAAACGATGGTTTTGTGCCCATCCACTTCCATGCTGAGTTCTTCAAGGGGCTACACTGAGGCAGAGGCAGTGCAGGAAATTGACAGGCAGTGCCACCTCTGGAATGGGTTGCCAGGTTTCAAAAGGTTCTTGAGTTTTCTTTAAAGAAGACCCCCAAATAGGGACAGACTGAGGCCCTATGAACCAGCCTCCACTGAGTCACCATCTCCAAACAGACCCTTAAGCAGCTTACAGACGGAAACAAGATACCAAAGACTTCAGAATAAAACAAAACATTAGAAGTTCATTTAAAGTAGGGTGTGAGGGGGTGCTGTGGCCCTCCAGATGTCACTGAACTGCAACTCCCATCATCCACTGCCCATTGAACAAACTGGCTTTGGAGTCCAAAATCATCTGAAAAGCTGGAGGTTCAATGCCAGTGATTTAAAGCATCAGAGGAAATCAAAATATTTAGTAGCTTAAGAACTGAGATGAAAGCTAGCAGAAAAGCAGTCTGACTCACCAGCTTAGGAGAAAGCAAAACACATTCAGGATTTGTGTTTATTGATAATGATTCCATTAATTACCCGTCCTTCACTGTCAGGTCCCAGGTTGGGTTATAATCATTTAAGACATTTTAAAGGTCTTAACAGATCTTCTGAGGAATAAAAGCAAGAAGGGGTCTCATTTGTTTCCCAGTGGAGGGAGTTCTGCCTGATGGGAGCCACCACAGAAAAAAATATTGTCATCATCACCGCCAACCTAATTTCACTGCAGATCCAGCCAATTCTTTCCGACTTTCAAATGCCTCTGTGGGGATTATTCAAGTTCTAGCCATCAATTCTATTGAATAAACACATGCATTTCTCTTGCAAACTACAGATATATATTTTAAACTGTGCTAAAAGCAGGTCCACTTTAAAAGAAACAGAAAGCAGCCTTCATCATCCCCTAAAATTTGTCTTTATGTCCACTTATTTCTCCATCAGAAGGAAAGTCGCCTCAAGGTGTACAGGCAAGATCTTTTAATGAAACTTATTTAGCCCTTAATACTCTTCATCTGTCCCATCACAATCTCTGGTGGAGAAAGAATGGATCTTTCTCGCTGTTTCAATGCAGGCTCAGTTCACAGACGGGGAAATGGAATATTGCATTAATAATTCTGAATACTGGATGCTTATTCTGGTTTAATTAACATGATGTATGCATGCTTGTTCCACACTGCACAGAAAGGGGCCTCATTCACACATCTGAGTATATGGAAAGGCAGTCTGAAAGCATTTCGTTTTGTTTTTAAAAATTGCATGTTAGGAACATAGGGAGCTGCCTTACACTGAGTCAGACCATTGGTCCATTGACAACATCATGCTGAATCTGACGGATACTCCACCTAGTTCAGCACTGACTGCTTTATGCTAAGCCAGACTATTGGTCTATCTAGCTCAGCATTGTCTACACTGACTGGCAGTGGCTCTCCAGGGTTTTGGGCAGGAGACATTCTCAGCCCTGTCTGGAGTTGCTGGGGATTGAACTTGGGACCTTCTACATGCAAAGCAGTTGTTTTAGCCACTGAGCTACTGCTGCCTTTTCCTATCAGTCAGTGACAGAAACACCAAGAGGGTGGCTTGCAGTCCTGAGTGGGTCACTTGCAAGTCACAAACAAAATTTCATCTCCGGTGTGAAAAGCTGCCCAGCAAAATCAGTTCAAACGCTCAGTCGCTAGTTCCCAGATGTACATGAAATGACATGTGATATCTGTGTATGTGTAAGCCAGCTGATATGTACCCAGTGCTCCTTGGGCTGCTTCACACCTGCACTTCCACTGCTTTGAAGGTGACTGGGATCATGCGCTGACCTGCATGTGTGAAATGCACCATCGCAGGTCAGCCTCCCCACCCCTGCCAGATCTCTTATTATTATTATTTATTGGATTTATATATCGCCCTATACCCAGCGGTTCTTCTGATCACGACCTTCCAGTCATAGAAACAGAGAACCATAAAATTGGAAGGGACCCTGGGGATCATCCAGCCCTACCTTTCAATGCAGGAATGTGCAGTTATCCCTTATGGGGTTGATCCTGCAACCGTGGCATTATCACCTCCATGTTCTAGCCGACTGAGCTACCTAGCTTTGCATGACAGTCAAGTGTGGACCTTTTCACACATTCAGTTGCCAGTTAATGGGGGTTCAGGAATCAAGTGGTGGGCAGGCATGTGTGAATCAGCCCAAGCCTTCCCTTTTCCCTACACAATGGACATTTCAGTGTAAAAGGAAGTGGACTAACTCACACACAAATGTGTGACAAATGATGGGAAGTCCCTGCTTGCAACTTCCTTCTGCGTACACCAATAATAATAATAATAATAATAATAATAATAATGCTCAATAATAATAAATAATAAACAAATATTTAATATCATTAATATTTAATGGCATATAATACCATTAATAATATTATCAATAATACAAATGTATTTTATTAATTGGTGATGACAATGATGTGTGGGTTGCCCACATGTGACAAACACACAAAAAATGACCTCCAATATCAGAAAATTGATCCTCTTGAATTAAGCAGCCACGAATTGTTCAAAAACCTTGAGATTGTTCCAAGGATTGACTCATTCTGCACACCCCAGAAGAGTGTGTCCATGTTAATCTGCTCTCGCCAAAGCCACAAGAGAGTCTGGTGGCTCCTCGGTGGTTGGGCTCTAGCCCCGTCCCCCAAAGTTTTTGCCACAATGCCTTCTCGCTAGACTTGAAGTCTCTCGCTTCTACCAACCTCTCCGCCCTCCTTCCAACCATATGCTTGTTGCTTTACCTGGCTTGGCTTGGTCTCTCTCCGCCCCACTTCCAGGGACCGTCCTGCTCCAAGCTTGCCCTCCAGCTTTCCTCAAAATCCAGGTCCAGCAAGCCTCCCTCCTGCTGTCTCCTCCGGTCGGATTGTCCTGCTGATGGTCGCCAAACGCAGCTGCTTCTTTCTAGGAGGACAATGTCCTTCTGGGACAGGCGTCGTCTTCTTCTTGACCCCACCAGCAGCGGCAAAGTTCTGTCTCTGAAGCCGGCAGGCTCCTGGCTCCGGAAAGCCAAACCCTCGCTCTCCCTGCTCAAGCGCCTCACTAAATAAATATCCAGCGCCGGGTCTCTAAGTAGCACAGTCGACGGCGGGGGAAGGAGGTGGGACGCGGGGGAAGGGGATTTGCCTGTTGCGCTTTATAGGCTGCGGCCAGCGGGTTGCAGTACCCCCTGCAGACAACGGACCTGCCTTGCAAGAAGGGCGGGGAAACATCTCGCCCGAGGGCTCCAGGGAGCTCCTTTGAAAAGAGGGGGGAAAGAAAGCAGACGCTTGAAAGTTGCGCGTGGGTTGGATTTGGGAAGGCGGCCGTTTCTTAGGATCCTCTGGCGCGCCGAAGTACGAAAGAGCTGCAGTCGTGTCACGTTATGGCTTGCACCATGAGCGCTAATAATGAGTTTCCCCAGCCACTTTAGGCGGGTCCCAATCAAATGTTTAAAACAGTACAGCATTAAATATTAAAAACTTCCCTAAACAGGGCTGCCTTCAGATGTCTTTTAAAAATAGGGTAGCTGCTTATCTCCTTCACATCTGAAGGGAGGGTGTTCCACAGGGTGGGCGCCGCTACCGAGAAGGCCCTCTGTCTGGCGCTGGGAGCTTTGCAGGGTAACAACATCGCAGAAACCAAAAGGCAGGGCTCTGCCCCGAAAATGTTACAGGCGAAATGCTCCGCGACAGCTAGGATCCAAAACGCAGGACACAAGACGAGCCTGCTGGATCAGGCCAGTTGCCCATTATAGTCCAGCATCCTGTTCTCACAGTGGCCAACCAGACGCCCCCAAAGGAAATCCGCAAGCAGCACTCACGCACAAGAGCACCCTCCCCTTCCGTGGTTTCCAGCAACTGGGGTACAGAAGTCTCCGACTGTAAAGGAAGAGTAGTCATCGTGGCTAGTCGCCACTGGTAGCCCTCTCCTCCATGAATTGGTCCAGTCCTCTTTTAGAGCCATCCAAGTTGTTGGGCATCGCTGCCTCCTGCGGGAGCGAGTTCCATGGTTAAACTATGCGGTGCGTCAAGGACGCAAGCTTTCGGGTTGCGCAGAGCTCCTTCACAGGAGCAAGGGAAGTGGGGGAAGCGAGGGATTTTCGCAGGGCTGAACAGCCAGAGGTCGTGCCCATATTTCTTCCCTTCCTCGCTTCCCTCCTGCCCCCATCGCCTATATATACATATAAATAAACCAGCCGTAACATTAAAGCGTCAGTGAGAAGCGTCTCCAGGGCAGTCCGATAATAAGGGAGATGCGCAAAGTGGTGAACGCAACAATTGGAGAAGAAATGGCAACAGGCAAGAATGCACACAAAGCGCGCACACACACACACACAGAGAGAGAGAGAGAGAGAGAGAGAGAGAGGGAGAGAGAGAGAGAGGGATTGGCTTCCGTTTGACTCATTCAATCTCTTTTCCTTCACTCCCATTTGGGAGTGAGGAGTCTTTTTTCAGCCTGCCCGGAATGCTAGTTCCAAGCCGAGACGCCTTACCTCGTCAGTTTGAAGTGGCGTCTCGTCTATTTCATCCATGCCCTTCATTTGCCAAGGCTACTTTTCATCAAGCCTCTGGCTGGGCGCCTGAAGGAATGGGGCTGGCGATGTAAGGTGGGGGGGGGGGAGTCTCCTGAGGGGTGGGGGATGCTGCCCCCCTAGCCCTGTAAAGCGCATTTCCCGAAGTGTCTGCTTTGCGCACTAATTCGTATTCTTTGCTCTAAAAATAACTCCGATTTAGGGGAGCGTTTGCGCGGAATCCACCTCTCCCCCGCAAACTGCAAAAGGTTACCCGCACCGCTTCTCCCCCTCCCCTCACTTCTGCTTGGTAAACAGCCCGCTTCCTTTTTCTAAGCCCCGGGGAAAGAAACTTGCCCCCAAGAGCCTCTCCTCCTGTTCCCGGTGTGATCTTGGGCGCCGCGGTGGAAAGAGCCCAGAGCCGGAGGAACTCGGCTCGTGAAGCGGCAGGTGGGGGCGTCTGGGGCGTCTCTATCCAAAGCGCGGGTGGTGCTCGGTCGGGAAAGGTTGCAGACGCTTCCCAAAAGAGCACGAGAGAGAGAAAGATCAAAAGGAACCCGTCGCGCTCTGCAGCCGCGCGCCCTACCGCGGTGCGCGCATTTTTCCGCATGTGGAGTCGGGGGAAGAATCCCATATTTGCTCTTTTGTCGAACGTCGCCAAAATATAACTGTCGGAGCGATGTTTTCGAATGTGCCAGCTTTGATTCCTGCGGGGAACAAGTGCAAGCTTTATGGTTACACAGCACCCTTCGTCGGGCAGCCCCCTCCCCTCCCCCCTCCTTAAGCTGCTGAAGTTACCAGAAAGTTGGCTTTCACAATGGATGATGGCCTTCTGCTGCTATTAGGGGTTGGGGTGGCTTTGGGTGTTTTCTATGAACTGCGTGTGACTTCGTGCGAATGTGTTTGCATTATAATGTCTGCTGCTGTTTGCTGTTTGTTTTCCATATGCTGCAGGTCCTTTGGAGAATTTTTGCATAAAAAAACCACTGAAACACCATAAGGATAAAAATAAGCAGATCAGATGTGATCCTGCTCTAATATTTGACTTCTATGGTTGTGGATAGTTGTGGTCCTTTAGGAAGGGAGCTGTCACAGCCCCACTCCATGTTTCTGTAAAATGGGCAAACTCATTTCATAGGTAAACTCCCACAAAAGTAGCAAGATTCATTTACTGCATTTAAGTCGAAGGAGCTTAAGGGGGTGTACATGGTTCTCTTCCCAGTTTATGACCAGAACAACCCTGTGTGGTGGGTTAAGCTGGCCCGAAGTCACCCAATGAGTTTCATAGCTGAATATGGATTTGAACCCTGGTCTCTGAGGTCCTAGTCCAACACTCTTAACTACTGCCCTACATTGTGGTTTTATATAAACTGCCTGGTATACTTTTCTACCAGCATAGGGGTGAAACTAGTCTTTCATCCTGGTCTCAAAGACCCAGTTTGGCACACACAGACCCATATGCATTTGTGTACACTCACACAGGCTGGGAGCCTCATTGGTGCCCCTCTAGAGGCTTCACCTGGGGCAAAAAGCCCTGCTAGCCCCCCCCCCCGGTAGCTTGAGAGTTAACTTCAAGAGGTGCATTAAGTACATATGAGAGCATAAGAAGTGCCTGCTGGATGATGCCAGTGGTCCATCTAGTCCAGCATCCTTTCCCCACAGTGGCCAAACAGATGCTGGTGGGATACCTGCAAGCAGGATCTGAACGCGGCAGCCCTCTCCCCTCCTGCAGTTTCTAGCAACTGGTATTCAGAAGCATTATGGCCTCTGACCATGGAAGCAGAGTACAGTAATCATGGCTGGCAGCCATTGATAGCCTTGTACTCCATGAATCTGTCGAATCCTCTTTTGAAGCCAGCCAAGTGAAGAGTCAATAGGAGCTACAAGCCAAGCCAAGCCGGTGAAAGCCAAATTGGCTATTATTGTCCAGGGGACAAAATGACAGCAAGGATTTGAAACCTGCTGGACCAGAGATTTACAGAAGATTGGAAGAAGTATATTTGAAAAGCAATTGTAACCAACGAATTACGCTAGTAGGACTACAATAACTTTTGAAAGGAGGAATATATGAAGTGCTACAAAGTAGATAAAAAATAGAGATATTGGTTATGAGTTTTAAATGTAACAGGGAAAATAAGAAATGTATACTAAGAGAATAGATTGGAAAACTTTCAGACAGGACTGATGGAAGTCAAAAAAATTGAATAGGATGTAAAAATATGTTTAATTACTGTTGAAAATGGCATGTTGAAAAAAACTAATAATTTTTTAATATATATATATGTAGCTATTATTGTCCAGACTCAGCCATATATCTATGCAAATCCCATTGCCATCTTGACTGTCCTGTTTGGCCTGAACCAGCAGGTTTTTCATGGGTCTTAAAACTCAGGGTCATGGGTTTGAGCTCCACATTGAGCAAAGGATTCCTGTATTGCAGGGGGTTGGACTAGATGACCCCGTGGTCCCTTCCAGCTCTACAATTCTATGATTCCATGCTCTTAGGAGCAGAGTTGGTGGACCACTTAATATTTTTTGTGCCTATTATAGCACGGCTAATGCAATGCTCTAGAAGCTGTGTGCTTTTTATTTTTATTTTTACAGGCACCTGAATGAAGCTCGTGGACCACTGAATATCACAGACCGCAGCTTGGGAACCCCTGGTTTGGATTATATTGAGCTAGATAAGGCAGCTTTCCATGCTCCCATCTGCATATCACTTCCTGGCTGCAAGGAATTCTGTTGTCTGATTCACCCTTTATTCTGAAGGAGAGCTGAGAATTTTGCATGATGAGAGGAGGGAGAAATGGCTGTTCTGCACCTTGCGATGTTTTTCCTGCCCTGCGCTTTCATTCATTTATCAAGCCACGCTGTGTGTTGTACTTGATAATGACTTAGATGAGGTTAATTTACTGCCACAGGTTTGCAATTAGCGGCCTATCACAGGGTCAGGGCATGCGAGCGTTTATGTGAGAGACAGCAAGGAAAACACGTGGAACAGTCTGCTTGCTGCTGGTCATCTTCAAGTGCAATTTGTGACTGTGTGTTCAAACTCAGGTTTTGCATAGTCTAGTCCATGGGAAGAAGTATCCAGGAAAACTAAGAAAGCAGCAGGTGATTGCATACGGGACCATAGGAAGCTGTCTTATGCTAAGTCAGAAGGCTGGTCCATCTTGTTCAGTGTTGCCTACTCAGACTGGCAGTGGCCCTCCAGGGTTTCAAATAGAGCCTTCCCCCAGTTTTTAAAATGGGACCTTCAACATGCAAAGTAGATGCCTCTGAGTGATCACTCTTCCCCAATTGCCATCTTTGAACATAGGCTTGCCAGAGGACTGCATGTAGCTGCCATTCCACAGCCTCACTGGGAAGGTACAGAAAATTGCACCAAGTGTAATTCAGCTTCCCAAGAACATCAGTGTTTCCTTTAAAAAATTTTTAAAAATGAAGTTTCTAGTCCTTAAGACAGTGGGGGTCTTCTTGACAGAGTGTGGGCAAATCCAGTTGAAATCTCAGTAGAGATACACAAAATTCCGTATGTGTTTGAGTGTACAGGAGAGTTCAGACTCCTGCATTGTCTGTTTCCGCTTCCTTGTGGCTAGCAAAACTATAATAAATTATGCAAAATGGTAAAGCTTTCAGAGCAGATTGTGCAAGATAAGAGCATGCCAGTGGGCTCAATATGCATGATTTGTGTCAAAGAATCCAGCTTCTCCTGCAGCAGAATCAGTTCACATGGATAGATGATTTCAAATGCACAGGGCCTCCCCTTGAGCAGAGGTGTACCTAGGCTCTTGTGAGCCCTTGGAAAGGAGATTTATTGATGCCACCCAAGCTGGGAGAGACCACATCCCAGAAACTCAAAAAGTTGGCTTTTTGACACCTTCTGTGCTCTGCCAGTGACTGCCTCCATAGTCATCAGGGTCAGATCTGCTCTGCCTCCCCTCCTCGTCTGCCTGCCTGCCTGCCTCCCTCCACTTGCTGCTTTCCTTTCTAACATTTCCCTCTTTTCCTTTCCCTTCCTTCTGCAACTCTCACCCACTCTCTCTGTCTCCTTCCCTCCAAGCTGCACCGGGTGCTCCAATCAAAGTTCAAATAGTGCCACTGGCCAACCAGGGAGGTGGCTCTGCAGGGCTGTGCCACAGACCACATCAGAGACTCTGAGCACAGGGATTTGTGCTCAGAGGAGCCTGCATGCCTTGCCCGGCCACTCAGAGCAGTGGAGGAGTTGCCCAGGGAGAAGGTGGATTGATAGGCAGGCAGGCAGGCAGGCAGGCAGGCTCCTAGCCACTCCATACCAGAGTGGAAAGCCCCCATTTTTGCACCCCCTTGTCAGGGGCCGACCTAGCAAACCCATAAGTACATACCTGCTCCTGAGTTTCTGAGATTTTCAGCAGGCATTTAGCACGCACTTCCAGGCATTATGTCACAGCCATTTGCTCACATCTGGGGAATCTTTGAACCTCCAGATCTTTCTTAGCTGCAACACCCATTAGCCCCAGCAAACATGGCCAGTGCCCAGGGAGTTCAGTAACATATGGAAAGCCGAAAGTTTCCCACACCTGCCTTTGCTCACCTTTGCACCCATTCTGCAAGCCGCTCCCTCTGAGATTAGGTGAGTGATGCATCTACTGGAAAGGCTCTACATTTCCGTCTTGCAAGAGCTGCTCCCGGGTCAGCTGAAAACACCCATCAAACTGAGTTGGAAAAATACAATGCAGAGATAAATTTCTGGGCCACCACCAGTCTCTCTTTTGCCATTACTTCTTTTAAACAGAGAATTAGTGTCATAATATGAGCAATGAGCACTGCTCCTTTGCCACATGGACGTGATGGATAGCACTTATAACAATGGCGGTGGTTAACATGAAATATCAGCAGAAGGCCAGGCTGCTGCTGCAGCAGCAATAATCTTCAGCAAGGGAACAGTAAGAGCCGGCCGCGTGCGTGAGGCTTCACCGATGATTTAGCAACCGACCTGTCAAAGTTCTGGAGACAAATCTGATGTGTCTGGTGGATCACTT